CAACGTCTCGACGACAGCCGCGCCATTCGACTACCCCGAGACGTACCAGATGCAGGCCAACAAGAAGCAGAAGGCGCTCACGGACGCCAACATGTACCCGGACACGGACACGCAGTTTGCTGCGACGCACCACGCGGCCATCGAGCAGCAGAAGCAGATGAAGCTCCTGAGCTACGCCGACCAGAGCGACGACGAAGGCGAGGATAACGCGTAGAGGCCGCCCACGATCCAAGTACCTCGTAGGTCTCTTGCAGCTACACTGTACGTACTACGTTCCTTGCTTAAGACCTGTATCTATGCAGCGCCAGATCAATTGTGATACAGACTCGATGAAGGAAAATGGTGCTAGCAGTTGAGAGATAGCGTGAGACTTGTGATTTTGATGGTGAGAGCAACGCGTTGATAGTCTATGAAACAGTCAAAGCTATCCGAGTATAGTGGGCGTCCCTTCAAAGCCCTGTAGTGGTGGGATGCCCCCAACTTGCAGGCGCAGCGTACTGCCTTACTGCAAGGGTTTAGCACTAAATATGGTAATAAAAGGTTATATATGGCATATGCCATATATAACTTGTAGAGTAAATTACTCTTTGCTCTACACCTCGTACGCCGACATGGAGTAGCATTTCGCGATTTGTATCGTGTTTTTCACCATCATGGCAAGTTTTGGCGATTTCATTTTCGAACGCGATCGGAGCTGCAACAGGCTCTGACGATGGCGAGCAGCGAAGTGGCGCGAGAAAACCTCGCACAGGACTGGTTTAAAATAATCGATAACTGACCAAAATGAATGGAATGACGTGTTTATTTTATCTCATAGAGATACGTCCTGGGTTATTTTTCACATCGACATGTTTGTTCGTTGCCACGCTGGCGCTCACTCATAGTAGCAGTCCATACTTCCTCGCAAACTAACTCATTATTGCCGATACATTGTACCCAGTCAAGTGAACTACATACAACATGTACGTGGTACTATTCATCATTATCACAGCAAGGACGTCAAGCGCTCTTAAGCCCGCCACGCGAACGAGGTATACATGCCCTTGTCCACGTTGAAAGCCTCGCCCTTGTCGCCGCCGCCAGCACCGGCAATCACGTGCAGCTAGACATAAATACACCGTCAGCACCGCTAGATGGAATGAGAATCGAATACCGGGATCAAGTGCTCTTCGCGCTGGTGGCAGTCGCGCGCGTGCGGGAGAGTCGCCCAGTTGGCTAGCGCCTGGCGACGGTCCTCAACGTCCGCTTCCAACACCGCCTCGGTCAGCGCCACGTTGAACTTTCGCGCCTTGTTCTCAAGGTCGCTCGTGCCACGGCTCGGGTGAAAGGTCGCACCGGACCCGACGATCGCAATGTTTTCGTCGCGAAGCACGGAGAGCACTTGACCGATCTTGAAGTGATGAATCGGGTCCAAGCCCGCAACGACGCTCACTTGGATGATCGGGATATCTTCGTCCGGATGAATGAGCTTGAGGGGTACAAACGTGCCATGGTCCCAACCGCGCGTCGGGTCGAGGCGCGAAACAATGTTGGCATCCTTGAGAAGCTGGTGGATCTTCTGCGCGATTTCCGGCGACCCTGGTGCCTTATACGTAAGCGAGTAGGCCTCTTGGGGAAAGCTACGCGTGAAAAATAAGCCGTGGGGTTACATCGTAGAGAGGCAGTCTATATATACCCGTAGTAGTCATAGAGGAGGTCGTGGGACGCGCCAGACGAGATGGCCACGAACGGTTCTTCCCAGTGCGCCGTGACGATGACGATGGCCTTCGGGCGCTTGGTCGGGTCGTTGAGGCTCAGAAGCTCCGGGATCTTGGTCTCGAGGAAGAGACGCGTCGGGCCGTGGTTGGGGTCCGTCGACGGCTTGAGGATCGGGAACGGACCAGCGCCGTGGTTGGCAAAGACGGCCGCAGCACGAACAGCAGCGCACGTAGCCATATCGTTAGTAGTTGGCGCCGCGGAGGAAAAGAAAGAATGAAGGGCGAGAGCCGAGGTCAAGCGGGCTAGGAAAGACGACATCGTGATGTGATGCAAATCCAAAAATGAGTGTGATTGGCCATCCTCGAATTTCGAAGAGCCAATGGGGACGCTGCATGGATACGCCGAAATGGAATCATCAACGCGATCGCATCATACCATAGCACACAATGTTGTCAGATGTGTGGCGCTATCGATGTCCTTCGAGGGGCTAGTGTGATGGTTTTTACGAGCTCTCGGTGAGCTTCATCATCTTTACTTCGCGTGGTCGAATAACGTTACCAAGAATCGCTCGGAAGCTGCTTCCGGGAAGCCGACTGATTAGCTTCGTGTCTCACGGAAACAACTTCCGGGGAAATCCTTGCCCCTCTTCGTACACACATCGTCGAACATTGCAGGTGACTGCAAGAGCAGCAACACGCTTCTGTGGCAGCTCACGAATCACTTAACAGCCATCGCCACGCGCCACAATCCCTCAAGCATGCGCAGGTGGGACTGAGAAAAGGACCCACAAAGTAGAGACGGCAAGACGCGAGGTGCAATGTACATTATGAAGGGGGACTTTACAGCACATACATATTCCAAAACAAAGGCTGAGCAATGTGGATGACTTGGCGGACATTGCGCTCACCTTTAAATCCGAGGAGCAACACGATCGTCCGGTTTTTATTGGCACAAGGTCGTCGCTAATAGACTCGCGAGTGCGCGCACTCCAGGTTCCACCTCGATGCACGCAGGTTGTAACAGCCATTTAAAAGCGCACCGATCGGGGTGAGCGGCCGACCAGACTAAGAATTTTTTTAGCACCTTCTTCACAATTCGGTGCGCTTACGACGATTTCCGCCCCAATCACCCTAGAATGCGCACCTCCTCCAATCGACCTCGGCCGTTCGTGATTTGCCTGTTCCAAAGGCTTCTCTCATAAAATGCCAAAACCGGATTGTGGCATACATATAACGAGTATACATGGTCAATAAAAACGGCGTGT